TTAGCAGATCGTCCCCCAGCCACTCTCGTTGAAAAACATAAAAGACCTCTGTAGACGTCTTTGGCAGTCAATGAGTTAATACAGATGCAGGATGGAAGACAGACTTGACATCTCAGTTTAGACTCAAAAGGGTAGAAAATACGCTATGATTTTGTTTTACTTTGGAGCAGCTCGATACGTTATTGGTTGCTCTCGCTCCATGAAGTTTTTTTAATTTTTGGATTTTTACTCTCAAATAAGCTAGACCGTTGCACTGTTAGCTTTAGGACGACACTGGAAGAAGCACCATGTCACATATGTAGCATTTTTTTAATGCAACTGCATAAAAGATAGCAAATATTTTGCTCACTCGACCAAAAGGCAGATCAGAGGCAGGAGGACGGTAAAAGAAAATAATTTAAGCAGCAGAAAGTGTGAACCAAACAGCCATAACACCATGACCCCCTGTCTGATATAAAGCGTGCTCACTATAGTTTCAGATAATGTTTGACTTATATAAAAACTCATTTTATTACTAATATCATTTCATCCATTTATCTTTCTTCTCTCTGTTGTGATTGCTTATCAATAACTGTATAAAGTCTGAGTAAACGCACACTGAAAACCACACAGTCCTCATGTCAGCACCATGTTCTGGGTTTTATATCAAACAATTCAAACTGCTGCACACATCTCTCCATGAAAAAGCGAATGTCCGTAAGATCGTGGCCTTTCTTCAGATGGAGCTGATGGAGGAGAAGCTGCGGGCCGGTGAGGATCAGAGCGAGTTAGCAGCATTAAGGCGCAAACTGGAGCTCCTGGAGGAGGAGAGGAATGAGAGCAGTGTCAAACACTCAAAGGCCGAGCAGAAAGTCAAGGATCTGCAGTTTACAGGTGAGGACCTGGTCCTTTAGAGCAGTGTTTTTCAACCACTAGTGTGGTGTTAGTTATGGTCAGGTGTGCCGTAGAAAATCATCCTATTTCACCTCATTGGTCTAAAAAGAGTTTTTGATATGGAATTAATTATCTGCAAATAATATTCCATTTTTGAG